GTAAAAATCAATTTATCATGTGACGTCTCCTAATTGCACGCACCTGATGGGCGTGGTCGGCCTCATTCCGAACTAGACTGTAGTGTTCCCCCACAATGTGTTGTACACCCCCTGGAGACTAAGTGCGTGGCAGTCGGCACCCGTCATGACTGTCTTGTGTTTGGTTTCGGGGGGTCGAAAACGTTTATAAAAATAGAATCATTAGGTTCTTTTCTCCGAGAGCCGGCACGCTCCAACTTGGAGGTGTTGATAATGGCGATTTATAGGGAGGATTTCTGACATGTGTAATCATAATCTTAGAACTTCAGTCTGGACATTTCGGATTAAACATGTCCAGGGGTTGAAATAGACGACTGTTAACTGGTTAGAAGACATTTGAAGAAGGGACAGAGCTGGAACAAGCCACTTTTGACCGCTGTCCAACAACGAGCAAAACGAAAGCATTCTCGCTCCCTCCCCACACCTTCACGCTATCGGCTCCAAACGCATGAGACATCTCGTCACGATAGTCCAGGATAGCTGGTCCAGGTTGGATGTAGGTGGATGATGGTGATGGTGTGGGTAGATGATGGTGTCGTCAGGTTGGATGTAGGTGGATGATGGTGTGGGGAGTCCAGGTTGGATGTAGGTGGATGATGGTGTGGGGAGTCCAGGTTGGGTGTAGGTGGATGATGGTGTGGGGAGTCCAGGTTGGATGTAGGTGGATGATGGTGTGGGGAGTCCAGGTTGGATGTAGGTGGATGATGGTGTGGGGAGTCCAGGTTGGATGTAGGTGGATGATGGTGTGGGGAGTCCAGGTTGGATGTAGGTGGATGATGGTGTGGGGAGTCCAGGTTGGATGTAGGTGGATGATGGTGTGGGGGAGTCCAGGTTGGATGTAGGTGGATGATGGTGTGGGGAGTCCAGGTTGGGTGTAGGTGGATGATGGTGTGGGGAGTCCAGGTTGGATGTAGGTGGATGATGGTGTGGGGAGTCCAGGTTGGATGTAGGTGGATGATGGTGTTGGGAGTCCAGGTTGGATGTAGGTGGATGATGGTGTGGGGAGTCCAGGTTGGATGTAGGTGGATGATGGTGTGGGGGAGTCCAGGTTGGATGTAGGTGGATGATGGTGTGGGGAGTCCAGGTTGGATGTAGGTGGATGATGGTGTGGGGGAGTCCAGGTTGGATGTAGGTGGATGATGGTGTGGGGGAGTCCAGGTTGGATGTAGGTGGATGATGGTGTGGGGGAGTCCAGGTTGGATGTAGGTGGATGATGGTGTGGGGAGTCCAGGTTGGATGTTGGTGGATGATGGTGTGGGGGAGTCCAGGTTGGATGTAGGTGGATGATGGTGTGGGGAGTCCAGGTTGGATGTAGGTGGATGATGGTGTGGGGAGTCCAGGTTGGGTGTAGGTGGATGATGGTGTGGGGAGTCCAGGTTGGATGTAGGTGGATGATGGTGTGGGGAGTCCAGGTTGGATGTAGGTGGATGATGGTGTGGGGAGTCCAGGTTGGATGTAGGTGGTGGATGATGGTGTGGGGAGTCCAGGTTGGATGTAGGTGGATGATGGTGTGGGAGTCCAGGTTGGATGTAGGTGGATGATGGTGTGGGGAGTCCAGGTTGGATGTAGGTGGATGATGGTGTGGGGGAGTCCAGGTTGGATGTAGGTGGATGATGGTGTGGGGGAGTCCAGGTTGGGTGTAGGTGGATGATGGTGTGGGGGAGTCCAGGTTGGATGTAGGTGGATGATGGTGTGGGGAGTCCAGGTTGGATGTAGGTGGATGATGGTGTGGAGGAGTCCAGGTTGGATGTAGGTGGATGATGGTGTGGGAGTCCAGGTTGGATGTAGGTGGATGATGGTGTGGGGAGTCCAGGTTGGATGTAGGTGGATGATGGTGTGGGGTGGTCCAGGTTGGATGTAGGTGGATGATGGTGTGGGGAGTCCAGGTTGGATGTAGGTGGATGATGGTGTGGGGAGTCCAGGTTGGATGTAGGTGGATGATGGTGTGGGGAGAGTCCAGGTTGGATGTAGGTGGATGATGGTGTGGGAGTCCAGGTTGGATGTAGGTGGATGATGGTGTGGGGGAGTCCAGGTTGGATGTAGGTGGATGATGGTGTGGGGGAGTCCAGGTTGGATGTAGGTGGATGATGGTGTGGGAGAGTCCAGGTTGGATGTAGGTGGATGATGGTGTGGAGGAGTCCAGGTTGGATGTAGGTGGATGATGGTGTGGAGAGTCCAGGTTGGATGTAGGTGGATGATGGTGTGGGGAGTCCAGGTTGGATGTAGGTGGATGATGGTGTGGAGAGTCCAGGTTGGATGTAGGTGGATGATGGTGTGTGGGGAGTCCAGGTTGGATGTAGGTGGATGATGGTGTAGGGGAGTCCAGGTTGGATGTAGGTGGATGATGGTGTGGGGGAGTCCAGGTTGGATGTAGGTGGATGATGGTGTGGGGAGTCCAGGTTGGATGTAGGTGGATGATGGTGTGGGAGTCCAGGTTGGATGTAGGTGGATGATGGTGTGGGGGAGTCCAGGTTGGATGTAGGTGGATGATGGTGTGGAGAGTCCAGGTTGGATGTAGGTGGATGATGGTGTGTGGAGAGTCCAGGTTGGATGTAGGTGGATGATGGTGTGGGGAGTCCAGGTTGGATGTAGGTGGATGATGGTGTGGGAGTCCAGGTTGGATGTAGGTGGATGATGGTGTGTAGAGTCCAGGTTGGATGTAGGTGGATGATGGTGTGGGGAGTCCAGGTTGGATGTAGGTGGATGATGGTGTGGAAGTCCAGGTTGGATGTAGGTGGATGATGGTGTGGGGAGTCCAGGTTGGATGTAGGTGGATGATGGTGTGGGGAGTCCAGGTTGGATGTAGGTGGATGATGGTGTGGGGAGTCCAGGTTGGATGTAGGTGGATGATGGTGTGGGGAGTCCAGGTTGGATGTAGGTGGATGATGGTGTAGAGAGTCCAGGTTGGAGTGTAGGTGGATGATAGTGTGGGGAGTCCAGGTTGGATGTAGGTAGATGATGGTGTGGGAGTCCCAGGTTGGATGTAGGTGGATGATAGTGGCTGGAAGTCCAGGTTGGATGGGTGAGTGGATGGAGTGTGGGGAGTCCAGGTTGGATGTAGGTGGAATGATGGTGGTAAGAGTCCAGGTTGGGTGGAAATTCAGGTGGAGTGGATGATAGTGTGGAAGTCCAGGTTGGATGACAGTGGATGATAGTGTAGAGGAGTCCAGGTTTGGATGGACGACGGTGGATGATGGTGTAGGGAGTCCAGGTTGGATGTTGAGTGGATGATAGTGTGGAGGGAGTCCAGGTTGGATGTAGGTGGATGATGGTGTAGAAGTCCAGGTTGGATGTAGGTGGATGATATGGTGTGGGAGTCCAGGTTGGATGTAGGTATGGATGATGGTGTAGAGTCCAAGTTGGATGATGGTGGATGATAGTTTGTAGAGTCCAGGTTGGATGTTGAGTGGATGATAGTGTGGAAGTCCAGGTTGGATGTAGGTGGATGATGGTGTGCTGGGAGTCCAGGTTGGATGTAGGTGGATGATGGTGTGGAGGAGTCCAGGAGGATGGAGGTGGATGATCCAGGCCGAGTCCAGGTTGGAGTGTAGGTGGATGATAGTCCAGGAAGTCAGGTTGGATGACGAGTGGATGATGGTGTGGGGAGTTGGGAATCAGGTTGGATGCCAGAGTCCAGGCCGGATGAGTGGTGATGGTGAGAGTCCAGGTTGGATGTAGAGTGGAGCCCATGGTGTGTAGGGGAGTCCAGGTTGGATGTAGGATGGAGATGGTGTGTGACGTCCAGGTTGGATGAGTCCAGGCCGTTGGTCCCAGGCCAGGGAGTGGATGGGTGGATGGTGGACAAAGGGGAGTCCAGGTTGGATGTAGGTGGATGATGGTGTGGGGAGTCAGGTTGGATGTAGGTGGATGATGGTGTGGGGGTCCAGGTTGGATGTAGGTGGATGATGGATATAGTCCAGGTTGGATGGAGGTGGATGATGGTGTGGAGTCCAGGTTGGATGTAGGTGGATGATGGTGTGGGGGAGTCCAGGTTGGAGTGTAGGTGGATGATGGTGTGGGGAGTCCAGGTTGGATGTAGGTGGATGATGGTGTGGGGAGTCCAGGTTGGATGTAGGTGGATGATGGTGTGGGAGTCCAGGTTGGATGTGGGTGGATGATGGTGTGGAGAGTCCAGGTTGGAGGATGATAGGTGGATGATGGTGTGGAGGAGTCCAGGTTGGATGTAGGTGGATGATGGTGTGGGAGTCCAGGTTGGGTGTAGGTGGATGGTGGGTCCAGGTTGGATGATGGATGATGGTGGAGTCCAGGTTGGGTGTAGGTGGATGATGGTGTGGGGAGTCCAGGTTGGATGTAGAGTGGATGATGGTGTGGGGGATGAGTCCAGGTTGGATGTAGGTGGATGATGGTGTGTGGGGAGTCCAGGTTGGATGTAGGTGGATGATGGTGTGGGGAGTCCAGGTTGGATGTAGGTGGATGATGGTGTGGGGAGTCCAGGTTGGATGTAGGTGGATGATGGTGTGGGGAGTCCAGGTTGGATGTAGGTGGGTGATGGTGTAGGGGAGTCCAGGTTGGATGTAGGTGGATGATGGTGTGGGAGTCCAGGTTGGATGTAGGTGGAGGATGATGGTGTGGGAGTCCAGGTTGGATGTAGGTGGGTGATGGTGTGGGGAGTCCAGGTTGGATGTAGGTGGATGATGGTGTGGGGAGTCCAGGTTGGATGTTGGTGGATGATGGTGTGGGGAGTCCAGGTTGGATGTTGGTAGATACTACAACAAATCTCAATCATTCGTCGCAATATGACGCAACAGCTAGCTACAACAGAGCTAGACTGTTAGGATAGACTACAGACTTTGATATATCATTCTTAGTTTCTTGTCACATCTTCATTTGTTAAAGACATTTAGTTGCCCACATTTATTACCTGAATTACATCAGCTTTTTAAGAGATTCGCATTTAGTTAATATAGGTTATAGTCCACTGCACAACACTAACAAACTAGGCGTGTTTGTTTGCTTTTGCAATCAGGTTTATTGTAAATGAATTATTGAATTTATTGTCATATATAAATACATCGCTGATTATGACATGAAACAATGCCGACTAAATCAAACTAAGTTTATTGTCTTTCAAACTTCAAACCTGAGGCACGCGAAGTGCGTGAAAGAACTCAGTGAGAGAACCGTAATCCCAGCGTCCAGTATAAACTGATCCTGGCCGGTCAGACTCGAGAAGTAGTTATTAAATACTGTGAAAATACGTGAAATATTCAAGTTAAGATAACTGTATACATACAACGAGGATATGATCGGTCGAGCAGATGATCGCTGTTTACCAGGGAGAGAGACAGAGACAGAGACACAGAGACAGAGACAGAGACAGATCCCTGTTTGACCGTATGAAGAGATGATTTCTTTTTGCCACCAATCCACGCATGCCCTCATGCCCGGTACAACCTGCAAAACGTGAAGTTCTATACACGACATACGTCTCATTCCTTGGACGAGATGACGTTCACATGATCCCGTAACTGGTATTCCTAACTGGCAATACGTTTTACATGTTTCAAAAACTGCATTCCACTAACGGAAACTTCCACAGTCTTGAGACGCCCTGTGAATTCCCCAGTTGAGAAACTTTCATTGTTATTCGTTTGTAGAGCTGCGTGCCCTGCTCACCGCTGAACCCTTTTATCGTGGAGTCGAACCCACACACCCTGACTCTAATTTTACTGTTTTTCAGTAATCATGTATCTTGGACAACACATGTTAATTACGCTTACTTGCAGCACAACAGTCATGATTGGTATCTTTAAACAATTAAATGTACTTGGAGACATAAATATAAGTTCATACCTTTGATGACAAAATTAAGCCATTATTATTGTATGGAGCTGAAATCTTGGGTGTGAATTATTACAATGATATCGAAAGAGTTCAACTGAAAGCCTGTAAAAGATTTCTTGGTGTTAAATCCAACACGATGAATACAATGGTGTATGGAGAATGTGGTAAATACCCGATGCACATATTCACAAATATGAGCTTTAAAATACTGATTAAAATTATTGAAGATGCCTTCCTATAGGCTACCAAAGAAATGCTACAATATGATTATGCTATTCAATAAAAATGGACACACAAATTGGGTTTCTTCTGTTAGAAATTTTCTATTCTCAAATGGTTTGGGTTTTGTGTGGAATCATCAGTATTTTGACTCTAACGGTAAGTTTATTATAGAACTAACAAGAAGATTAAAAGATCTCTATTTGCAAGAATGGTTTGAAAAGATATCACTTTCCAGTAAATGCTTGCATTATAAGATGTTTAAGTGTATTTTGAAGCAGAAAGGTATTTTTCATCTGTAAACGTAAAAACGTTTATGATAGTGTTAAGTAGACTGAGGTGTTCTTCACATGATATATTTATCGAAAGTGGAAGTTTCAAAAATGACAAGAAAGAAAATAAAACTTGCAAACTATGTGATCTTAACCACATAGAAGATCATTTTGCCCTGCTTATAATTCCCTGAGAAGGTTGTATAATAAGAAATATTATTTGTCCACACAAACAAATGCAATACATGTGACATGTACTTCAAAATCTTGTCAATGTTTGCTTACTATGCCATGTTGTTTAGAACAGAATATATCTCAGAACACAATATAACCTTCCCTTGATTATTTTCTCTTCTTCGTGTATATTACACGTGCGTATACATATTGTTTTGTAAATGTATTGTACTACAGGCCTGTGACCTTTCAGTACCAGAAATAAAGAGGATATAACTGGTACAGTGTTCAAACCTCACTCACTCACTCACTCACTCGGCGTGTTTGCACGTTGGAACGTTTGGCGGAATGTCGGAATATTTTTGCTACAACAAACTGCAAACCCAAAGGTCAACAACAATGTACGTTCTTCATTGAACAAATGGTCCGCGTCATGTCGTTGATCGTATCGGCCATTGACGTCCTGTACTTGAAGAAGATGAGTCACGTCCTGTTATCTGCCTTATTGCTCTCAACAGATATCTCATGTTGATATCACATAAATCTGCTAACACCTAAACTACAAAAATATCATCACTTGTCTGGAAGAATTACGTTTGTCCGCCATTTGGGCCAAAATTGGGTTATATAATATTGTAAGAACTTCCCGTCTCAAGTTCCTAAACATCGTGCAACACTAGTAAACAAACACAGATGCTCCTCAGTCTAAACCTACATCCGGGTATTATCTTGATACCCAGCATTCACCGCGCCTCCCTGAGCCTGACGTTTTCCACTACGTGGACAGCATCCACAAATCGACGACGACGACGATGCGCGCTTGTCCAGAATAAAGTTCGGACAAATAGGAATGTATTTTGTACACCTGAGTTTGTTGAGATATTTCTGTATGAGTGGCAGGTCATACACAGCCATTGTGTCTCTGACGTCGCCACCGGAAGAAGACTCGCCAAGCATCCGCCATTTCAATATCCCCCTCTCTTCAACTGTACCTGAAAGTAACAGCAAACACCATTATGTGGGGCCGGTCTGACTCGAGGGTTAGCGTGATGTGGGGCCGGTCTGACTGGAGGGTTAGCGTGATGTGGGGCCGGTCTGGCTGGAGGGTTAGCGTGATGTGGGTAAGGGTCTGGAGGCTTAGCTTGATGTGGGGCCGGTCTGGCTGGAGGTTCTGGAGGAGGGTTAGCGTGATGTGGGGCCGGTCTGACTGGAGGGTTAGCGTGATGTGGGGCCGGTCTGGCTGGAGGGTTAGCGTGATGTGGGGCCGGTCTGGCTGGAGGGTTAGCGTGATGTGGGGCCGGTCTGGCTGGAGGGTTAGCGTGATGTGGGGCCGGTCTGGCTGGAGGGTTAGCGTGATGTGGGGCCGGTCTGGGGCCGGTCTGGCTGGAGGGTTAGCGTGATGTGGGGCCGGTCTGGCTGGAGGGTTAGCGTGATGTGGGGCCCTGTCTGATGTGGAGGGTTAGCGTGATGTGGGGCCGGTCTGGCTGGAGGGTTAGCGTGATGTGGGGCCGGTCTGGCTGGAGGGTTAGCGTGATGTGGGGCCGGTCTGACTGATGTGGGGCCGGGTTAGCGTGATGTGGGGGCCTGGCTGGAGGGTTAGGGATGTGGGGCGGTCTGGGAGGTTAGTGTGGGGGCCGGTCTGACTGGAGGGTTAGCGTGATGGGGGCCGGTCTGACTGGAGGGTTAGCGTGATGTGGGGCCGGTCTGACTGGAGGGTTAGCGTGATGTGGGGCCGGTCTGGCTGGAGGGTTAGCGTGATGTGGGGCCGGTCTGGCTGGAGGGTTCCAGCGGATGTGGGGCCGGTCTGACTGGAGGGTTAGCGTGATGGGGGCGGGGGTCTGACTGGAGGGTTAGCGTGATGTGGGGCCGGTCTGGCTGGAGGGTTAGCGTGATGTGGGGCCGGTCTGACAGGAGGGTTAGCGTGTGTACGCCGCTTTTAACACTATACACGTCTCTTCATCTGGGAGTCTGCACACATTGTAGCAGTGTTCTCCTTGGGTGAGTGAGTGAGTTTAGTTTTACGCCGCACTCAGGAATAGTCCAGCTATATGGCGGCGGTCTGTAAATAATCGAGTCTGGACCAGTCAATCCAGTGATCATGAGCATGAGCATCGATCTACGCAATTGGGATGCGATGACATGTGTCAACCCAGTCAGCGAGCCTGACAACCCGATCCCGTTAGTCGCCTCTTACGACGAGCATGGGGTACTGAAGGTTCATTCTAACCCGGACCTTCACGGGTAAGATCTCCTTGGTAAAAGGGTGAGTGAGTTTAGTTTTACGCCGCTTTTAGCAATATTCCAGCGGGGGATATATCATGCCGGGGGACACCAGAAATGGGCTTCACACATTGTACCCATGTGGGGAATCGAACCCGGGTCTACGAGCGAACGCATTAACCATTCGGCTACCACTTGGTAAAGAGACCATTCTCACTCATCCTTGTGCTCGGTCATAACTGGGATCTTTGAAATACAGAATTAATCACTGGCTTATTCTTAAGTTGTACAATAAAATACAATCATCAAAACATACAATAATTCCATTAACTAAATACAGTTTACGTTGAGGCCACATGACCTACCTGGAATCGTGTTGTCTAGGAAGGCAGCGACGAACCCGCCCACAAACATGCTGGTTCCCAGTAGCACCGAGATGATCTGGTTGGCGATGTCGTTACCTACAGGAAGAACCAGTTGAGGAACAACTAGAACCGCTAGGTGTGAGTGAGATGAGTGAGCAACGGGAAACGTTGACCGGCGATGTGAAACCAGTGTGAGTCAGTTGGGTTTTACGCCGCTTTTAAATAACAATATGTGCGTGTATCATAGCATGGCAGCTTCGTGTGGGGGGAACGCCCGGAGCGATGGGATAGTTGATGGAAACAGAATATCTTTTCAAACATATTGTAAGTAAAAGACTGTATTTTTACAGTCTCAAGAAAAAAACACATAACATCTACATGAACAGAACTGCAAAGTCTCGACACCTTGTTTGTTGTTAATGGCGCCTCTCTGAGAATATCCCAGCTTTACAGACGCAGCCTATACATTTTCGAATTTGGACCAAACAGTCGGATGACTGACATCCTCAATCACTATCCAAGCAAATGAGATACGATGACAAGCTATCAGCAAAGTCACTTGGCCTGGCAATCCTATATTCTAAAACGGGTCATTCACTGAAAAAACTGTAACATAATACAATGAAAATGCGGAACACTCCACGTGCTAGTAGTAGTAGTAGTAATAGTAGTGGTAGTAGTTGTGGTAGTTGTAGTAGTAGTAATAGTAGTAGTAGTAGTGGTAGTGGTAGTAGCAGTAGTAGTAGTAGTAGTAGTAGTAGAGGTAGTGGTAGTAGCAGTGGTAGTAGTAGTAGTAGTTGTAATGGTAGTAGTAGTAGTTGTAGTAGTAGTAGTAGTAGTAGTAGTAGTAGTAGTAGTGGTGGTAGTAGTAGTGGTAGTAGTAGTAGTAGTAGTAGTAGTTGCAGTAGTAGTAGTAGTAGTAGTAGTTGTAGTTGTTGTAGTTGAAGTTGTAGTTGTTGTGGCAGCAGTAGCAGTAATAGTCTCAGGGACGACTTAAACGAATACGTAAAGGTGGAATCCAAAAGCTGCTTACCAGTTTGGATTTTGTTGGAATTTGCCGAGACCCACCGAGGGCAGGAGAGGCCAAAGAAGAGAGAAACTCCGAGGATGAAGAGGTTCCGGATGGAGCTGAGGTCAACAAAACTGAGGCTGGAGATTCCAACAGCGGTCACCATACCTGAGGCAGAGGTAAATGGCTGTTACACGAGACGGATTGAACTACACTTTATCTAGGTACGTGGTAGGTTACAGTACTTATACACACAAGTTGATTGAATAAACAAGCATACCCAATTCATCTTTAAAATATGCAGAATATTTTCTTGGTTGGTGTAGGTGAGACGGGGTGAACTATAATGTAACGTCGAGGTAAAGATATTTCACCTACAGAGCGACGTTGTTTTCTTATACTGTCTCTCAACATAGATTACATTATTATTACAACATTGTAGGCTATTTATATAGCGCACATATCCATGCAACTAGTGCATGCTCAAGTCGCTCGTATTTGTTCCCTCGCTCATTGAATGTCAATCTCAACGGCACATCGTATTATCAATCTCAACTCCCTGGGGATCATACAACTCTTGCAGTCACTAAGCGCACCGAGTTATTGTGGCTTCCTCATCCTAACGAGGTACCATTCACAGCTGGGTGGACTGGGACACATAGTCACAGTACTTTGTCAAAGTTCACTGCACGTTGCTGTACCCGCAACTAGGTGTTTGCACGTATTCATGTAGCCACCATCTGGTCATATACCAAAGGATTCGTGGGTTCTTTTAAGTGCACAGGGTTGTGTACTGTACACTACCCCTCCCCTCACTCCCACCCTCTCCCAGACTCCTGGGTAACTCCTTGTTCCATCCCCTTAATCCAGAGGCAGGATAACAACAAGTACCATCATTTAGCGTCTTTTGGTCTGAAGCAACCAAGGGACTGACACGAGCTGTGACCACTCTGGCCACTATGCCCTTCTTCATGCAGTAGACAACTGGAACTAGCTGTGACCACTCTGGCCACTATGCCCTTCTTCATGCAGTAGACAACTGACACGAGCTGTGACCACTCTGGCCACTATGCCCTTCTTCATGCAGTAGACAACTGACACGAGCTGTGACCACTCTGGCCACTATGCCCTTCTTCATGCAGTAGACAACTGGAACTAGCTGTGACCACTCTGGCCACCATGCCCTTCTTCATGCAGCAGACAACTGACACGAGCTGTGACCACTCTGGCCACTATGCCCTTCTTCATGCAGTAGACAACTGACACGAGCTGTGACCACTCTGGCCACTATGCCCTTCTTCATGCAGTAGACAACTGACACTCTGAGCTGTGACCACTCTGGCCACTATGCCCTTCTTCATGCAGTAGACAACTGACACGAGCTGTGACCACTCTGGCCACTATGCCCTTCTTCATGCAGTAGACAACTGACACGAGCTGTGACCACTCTGGCCACTATGCCCTTCTTCATGCAGTAGACAACTGACACGAGCTGTGACCACTTCTGGCCACTATGCCCTTCTTCATGCAGTAGACAACTGAACAGTAGCTGTGACCACTCTGGCCACTATGCCCTTCTTCATGCAGTAGACAACTGACACGAGCTGTGACCACTCTGGCCACTATGCCCTTCTTCATGCAGTAGACAACTGACACGAGCTGTGACCACTCTGGCCACTATGCCCTTCTTCATGCAGTAGACAACTGGAACTAGCTGTGACCACTCTGGCCACTATGCCCTTCTTCATGCAGTAGACAACTGACACGAGCTGTGACCACTCTGGCCACTATGCCCTTCTTCATGCAGTAGACAACTGACACGAGCTGTGACCACTCTGGCCACCATGCCCTTCTTCATGCAGTAGACAACTGACACGAGCTGTGACCACTCTGGCCACCATGCCCTTCTTCATGCAGTAGACAACTGGAACTAATTATTTTCCACATGATTATTCAATTCACTCACCAAACATGACGATGAACATCCCGCCAACTACAGGATCTGGGATGGTGACAAACAGGGCGCCGAATTTGCCTAAACAGCCCAACACTATCATAATGGCGGCCCCCACTTGTATCACCACACGGCTGCCAACCTACGGGGAGACAACTCTTGTAGTTATTGACAGAGGTTATATATAATGTCCTTGTTCCGTGCTGGAAAAAAACCTTTTAGGCAAGACAGAACAAGACAGAAAAAATGCGATGAGATTAAATATTACACGTTCCAACAAAGATTACCCCTTACTGTCCAAACTGGTGCAAAAACACATGTGTTGCGGGACCAAATCACTAATTCACGCTAACTCACTCACTCACTCATACAAACCCTCACTCACTCACACAAACCTTCACTCACTCACTCTCACCGGGTGAGTCACGTACCTTTGTGATTCCTATGGCCCCGATATTTTCACTGTAGGAGGTGGTGCCTCCCCCCGTGCCCCACAACCCTGCCACCAGGCACGTGACCCCCTCCATCCCGATACCTGCAACAGAGAAGTAGGTGCTGATGGTTGTCACTGACGACGATACAAGTCTTGACAAGTTTGTGTGACTATGTCGTCAACCACACATGGAACCGTATGAGACCACGGGGAATATACTGTCGTCAACCACACATGGAACCGCATGAGACACGGAGGATATACTGTCGTCAACCACACATGGAACCGAATGAGCCACGGAGGATATACTGTCGTCAACCACAAATGGAACCGTATGAGCCACGGAGGATATACTGTCGCCAACCACACATGGAACCGTATGAGCCACGGAGGATATACGGTCGTCAACCACACATGGAACCGTATGAGCCATGTGGGATATACTGTCGTCAACCACACATGGAACCGTATGAGCCACGGGGGATATACTGTCGTCAACCACACATGGAACCGTATGAGCCACGGGGGATATACTGTGTTTTATTACCCACGTGGTCAACGTATGGGTAGTTGCATATTAATCTCGTACGTCACACGAGTGTCGTATCGCGTTGACCTGTGTCGTAACGACTTGACCTGAGATTCTAACGATTTGATTGGATAACCGATGACCTCTATTAGGTCACATTCTGACGTAACTATATTTTCATTCATAACAAACACGTGAATTCATTCATTCTACAACTTAAATGCATTGTGGGAATGTAAGCATCGAGAACGTTGCCGTGTCGCTGTTTAATTGTGAGTCGAACTGAGACATTATATCCGTCGCAAAACATTAACGCAATGTTTCCACCAGTGAAGTTAGCCGAATGAAGCAACTGCAAACCAAGAAACGAGGTGCTACGGAGTAGTTTACTATAGGAGGCTGTTCGAGGCGATGACAGCTGACTTGCATCGTGACGTCGGTTACCAAGGCAGTGACGTCATTTTGGTGTGACGTCATGCAAATATTGTACTACAGTACAAAACTCTTCCGCAACCCCTTTATGAAACCGGTTTCGGTTTGAAACCAAAATATTAACAAAAATACGCTATTTTGTCAGTTTAATGCATGTAAGACGTGGGTAATAAATAAAATACCACACTCGGTCTCATTACATGCAGATTATACGAAACTCGTGACCTTCCTATGTTATCTGACCTCGCTTTCGCTCGGTCAGATACCACAGGAAGGACACTCGTTTCGTATAATTCGTATGTAATGAGACCTCGTGTAGTATTCTCTATATATGGCCCTCTTCAAATGTCAGTATAAAAGGGGTATTTTTGGCGGATTGACAATGTCAAAATTGCTTGTGTATTTCAGCTACTTCAATATATCTAATATTTTCCTCAGAACTCTGTATGCAAAAGTTACAAAAGCCTTAGTGTGGGGCATATACACTCCCTGATTTTATGAATTAATACCTTAATGCCATGCTAATTCTATGATACTGTATTATACTTTTTATCTAATTCTACGAACATAACTACTGATCAGCTAACCATGAGCACACCTAAGACCTGAGAAGATGTCACTACATGTATTTGTGGAAACATACAGGTTTTTCTTGTGGTCAGCTTACTGACACAACACATAGCTATGGTCAAGTAGCCAGTTGTCTTCTACTTCTCTACCAACTTGAGCCAGAAATATTACTGACCCGTGAAACCGCTCCATGAAATGTTTCCTTTTGGAGCTGTGCATGAGTCAGACAGACATCCCGCCAGTCACCTATCCGTTAATATCTAGCAGTATTCTGGCAGCTCAAACATTTCGCGAAGAGTTTTAAAAAGCGCCGTACGACAACAGTTGTGTTCCCAGAATGACGTCATTCAAGGCCTCAGTAAAGCCTTCAATACGTTTATAGAAGACATTTAAAGGATATTTGCAAGTTTTGATGCACATGTGACAAACACTACGTCTGGCGCAAATCCCTAATATTTATTTTCAGGAGTACAGTTTCCTTGCCTTTGCGTGTGTTTGCGATTTACAGTTGTAGCAGAGATTTCGAATGTAGATGCTTTTGTACATGTTTCGATTCATGGAAGATAAACAGACAGAAAGTAACACCATTGTATTTTCAATGTTAGTAGATTATGTATCAATGGTAAAACATAAACCTTTGATTCTTCCAAAGTCTCACCTCTACTCACAGCACTACTTGGCGGTGGCGGCGCTCCAGATAGCCTTGCGCATGCGTAGTAATCTCCAACTGATTCAATCATGGAGGCGAGAAGAGCTGCAAGCATGCCAAACACCCCGGCCACGCTCACAGTCGGTATGCCCCACTGCCCTGTGATAACAAACACTATTAAGTAAAGTTATCACCACAAAGATCTACTTCCGGTGTTTATTTTCGTTCCAAGTAATAAGAGTGATGTGGATGAGATGTCACGAGTCATTTTACCATGACTTCAGTAAATACTGGATTGTGATTGGTTTATCAAAGTCATTCAGAGGTATATAATCACGTTATGTGTTTGTTTAAATCTTATAACGCGGATATGGTAGAATGGAGATAACTGACTGACTGAGTTTGGTTTTACGCCGCTTTTAACAATATTCCAGCAATATCACGGCGGGGGACACCAGAAATGAGCTTCACTCATTGTACCCATGTGGGGATTCGAACCCGGGTCTTCGGCGTGACGAGCCAACGCTTTAACCACTAGGCTACCCCACTGCCCCAGAATGGAGATAAACGTCCTGTGTTGGAAAATCAGAGTTATATAACGAAATTATAATAGCTCTCATATACCTCTGATTTTCCAACACAGGACGTTTATCTCCTAAGTAATGTACTCCACTCCAGTTTAGTTGGGCTGCAGACAGGTTTTCATACATAATACAATTTGGATACACATTCTGTCAGTCAATGTCTGCACACGTTACCAGGAATAATTACATGATCAGGTTTGAGTATTATGAGTTAAACACCACATACGGTAAGCTTGTTGCCAAAACCTTGAGTATACTGACCACTCATCGCTCCTCGTGGATAACCCAAACATTATCTGTTTGAAATTTCGTGCTGTCAAATAGCCAGTTAAAACGCAAAACCTTGATCGTCAAACACCTGACACATTCTGCCACCATGGGAGGCTTTGTAAATATTTTATGGCCGCTTCGGGTACTTCCGTCAAATCTTTCATTCCATACAACAATTTACTCTATGCTGGATATATCTCGGTTATACCCTTATACGTTCGTTCCTCTGCGAAGTGAAATGGGGTTTAACGTCTTACTTAAAAATATTTCACTCATAAGACGACGTGCATGCGTGTGTATATGTGGCTGCTTGTACTTGCCCAGACTTAAGCTGTCTGTATAGTGCTAGCCCACTGAGATACCATAAACAGATTAAATACCTCACTCAGACACATTATACTGACTCCGAGCCGACCAGTCCTTGTTGTACCCATTAATGCCGAGCGCCATGCAGGGACCAACAAGTACCATATTTTAACGTCTTTTGGTATGACGTAGCCGGGAATCGAACCCACGACCTTCCGGCCTCCGGGCGGACGCTCTAACCACTACACCATCAGAGGCATTCTATCGACCAGTACACCTTGAGGTCTCTGTGTGAAATCTCCGTGGCGTAGGTTCAGTGAGTCATACGTGTATGGGTTTAACTCTCACATAGCTCAATACAGGGTTGGAATGTGTATGGATTTACTATTTGCATCTCGACATCTATGACATGGAGTCAGCTTCTGTACCTGAAAATACCCCACACCTGGCCTGAGGTCCAGATGTGTGACTGGCGTGTGTTTGCCGTTGTGGATCTCTGTCTGTCGAGACAGAGACAGACAAGGTAGAACTGCAGCATGTTGTCTGTGAGGTAATAAGACTACACAACACATTCATTTGATCCTATATCCAGGCTAATCTACACACATGAAGGTCACTTATCGTGAGTGAGTGAGTGAGTGAGTGTGGTTTTACGCCTCTGTAAGCAATATTCCAGCAATATCACGACACCAGACATGGGCTGCACACATTGTACCCGTGTGGGAAGCCGAACACGGGTCTTCGGCGTGATGAGCGAACCTTTTTCCACTAGGCTACCCCCACCGCCCGCATACTGTAAACGCCTCTGATAAGCATGGGAAGATATGCACTTTGGGTGCACTACCGTCCTACCTGGGTAGGGGAATCTGAACCAGCTGGCTTTGTAGAGTACATCTGTCCGGATGTCAGTGCGGGCCTGGTAGCCCCAGCCCTTGGGGTCATCAGGGAGCGCACCTGTCACAGTGAGGATCACACATATGACCCAGGCGGAGACGATCGCCAGCAGCACCTGGAAGACATGAACAAGTCAATACTGATTCCCTGGAGGGAACAGGAGTACGGGGCAAGAGGACCAAGGGAAAACGTTAGCAGGTTAGTTTTCTTAGGTGCCCAAACTTGCAGTGGAGAGTTACTACCCATAGATTTCTTCTCATATGTCCTGATTTTGATTCGGGATCTTCAGTTTCACTGTAGTGGTGTACGTAGAGTTTGGAAATGGAATATTCTCCCACATTAAGCATGACGAGATATAATGTTGAAATAGCCTTCAGCCTACAAGGTCCACTCATTCAAACAGCGATAATGATTCATGGCTGATCTATTCACTGAGATGATTGCCCGTTCTCTACTATCCAAGTCTGTGGTTGAACAACTACACATGGTTATAGTTCTTACAATTAAACTGAAGTACAAAAGAAACTACACACCTGGTGCATGGGGAATATTTTCCATAACACAACGACGCTGTCGTAAATACTTTCAAAAGCGTTTTAACTGTGACTTACAAGCACAACATGTGTGAATCCTGAATGTCGACGGAAGCATGGGCAGAGGTCATTTGTCAATGTTACACACTGGACGGACTATTACATAATGAGGGAGATGCGAACACATGTGACTGATAGTAACAGAACCATATACATACAGGAAACAGGTTGAAGAGTTGTAAGCTGGTCCGAGAACATCCATCTTGGCGGGAGTATGTAGCACAGGGCACGCGGACATTCCTCAGATACTGGGAGAACAGAGCAATCAGGGCGATCGTCCTGGAATACAAGGAGCACAATACATGCGTGGGCCGCAGACAGTACGTCCACATTCCTCAGATACTAGGAGAACAGAGCGATCAGGGCGATCGTCCTGGAATACAAGGATCACAATACATGCGTGGGCTGCAGACAGTACGTCCACATTCCTCAGATACTGGGAGAACAGAGCGATCAGGGCGATCGTCCTGGAATACAAGGAGCACAATACATGCGTGGGCTGCAGACAGTACGTCCACATTCCTCAGATACTGGGAGAACAGAGCGATCAGGGCGATCGTCCTGGAATACAAGGATCACAATACATGCGTGGGCTGCAGACAGTACGTCCACATTCCTCACATACTGGGAGAACAGAGCGATCAGGGCGATCGTCCTGGAATACAAGGAGCACAATACATGCGTGGGCTGCAGACAGTACGTCCACATTCCTCACATACTGGGAGAACAGAGCGATCAGGGCGATCGTCCTGGAATACAAGGATCACAATACATGCGTGGGCTGCAGACAGTACGTCCACATTCCTCAGATACTGGGAGAACAGAGCGATCAGGGTGATCGTCCTGGAATACAAGGATCACAATACATGCGTGGGCTGCAGACAGTACGTCCACATTCCTCAGATACTGGGAGAACAGAGCGATCAGGGCGATCGTCCTGGAATACAAGGATCACAATACATGCGTGGGCCGCAGACAGTACGTCCACATTCCTCAGATACTGGGAGAACAGAGCGATCAGGGCGATCGTCCTGGAATACAAGGATCACAATACATGCGTGGGCTGCAGACAGTACGTCCACATTCCTCAGATACTAGGAGAACAGAGCGATCAGGGCGATCGTCCTGGAATACAAGGATCACAATACATGCGTGGGCTGCAGACAGTACGTCCACATTCCTCAGATACTGGGAGAACAGAGCGATCAGGGCGATCGTCCTGGAATACAAGGATCACAATACATGCGTGGGCTGCAGACAGTACGTCCACATTCCTCAGATACTGGGAGAACAGAGCAATCAGGGCGATCGTCCTGGAATACAAGGATCACAATACATGCGTGGGCTGCAGACGAGTACGTCCACATTCCTCACATACTGGGAGAACAGAGCGATCAGGGCGATCGTCCTGGAATACAAGGATCACAATACATGCGTGGGCTGCAGACAGTACGTCCACATTCCTCAGATACTGGGAGAACAGAGCGATCAGGGCGATCGTCCTGGAATACAAGGAGCACAATACATGCGTGGGCCGCAGACAGTACGTCTACATTCCTCAGATACTGGGAGAACAGAGCGATCAGGGCGATCGTCCTGGAATACAAGGAGCACAATACATGCGTGGGCTGCAGACGGTACGTCCACATTCCTCAGATACTGGGAGAACAGAGCGATCAGGGCGATCGTCCTGGAATACAAGGATCACAATACATGCGTGGGCTGCAGACAGTACGTCCACATTCCTCAGATACTGGGAGAACAGAGCGATCAGGGCGATCGTCCTGGAATACAAGGATCACAATACATGCGTGGGCTGCAGACGGTACGTCCACATTCCTCAGATACTGGGAGAACAGAGCGATCAGGGCGATCGTCCTGGAATACAAGGATCACAATACATGCGTGGGCTGCAGACAGTACGTCCACATTCCTCAGATACTGGGAGAACAGAGCGATCAGGGCGATCGTCCTGGAATACAAGGAGCACAATACATGCGTGGGCCGCAGACAGTACGTCTACATTCCTCAGATACTGGGAGAACAGAGCGATCAGGGCGATCGTCCTGGAATACAAGGAGCACAATACATGCGTGGGCTGCAGACAGTACGTCCACATTCCTCAGATACTGGGAGAACAGAGCGATCAGGGCGATCGTCCTGGAATACAAGGATCACAATACATGCGTGGGCTGCAGACAGTACGTCCACATTCCTCAGATACTGGGAGAACAGAGCGATCAGGGCGATCGTCCTGGAATACAAGGATCACAATACATGCGTGGGCTGCAGACAGTACGTCCACAATCTCAGTACGTCTTAGCAGTATGTCAGATTTGTCACGTGTCGTGTTAAACGTTTACCACTTTGGAGACAGCCGTGATGGAGGTTGCCGAGAATCTGGCTTTGAATGGAATCACGATCATAGCATCCTGGTATTCACAAATCTCCTATATTATATACGGATGAACGGCAACGCGAAACAAGCCTCATATTCTAAAACAAGTTCACACATGAAGTAATCACTGTTGAACCCTGAGGTGAGCACTGTGTTAAACCCGGAAGTGATCACTGGCTTACAGCCGATGACTGTTCAACCCTGAGGTATTCAGTGTAAAGCAACATCATGATGGAAATTCTTCATTTCCGCATTTATCCGTGAAGATTTTTCATATAACCCATGCTTGTCGTGAGAGGCGACTAACGGGTTTTCAGACTAGACTCGCTGAGTTGATTGACACATGTCATCCTACCCCAATTGCTCAGATCGATGCTCATGCAGTTGATCACTGTATTGCCTGGTCTAGACTCGGTTATTTACAAACCACAGACATATAAACTAAACTATTGCTGAATGCGGCGTAAAACTAAACCCACTCACTCACACATTTCCAAGTTAACATTTGTAGGCGTTAGTTCTAACCACGCCTCAGACTTGCAGAGACTATAATATGGGAATCATTATGTTCTGCAAATGTATGTAAATTTTACATAAACCTTGTGCAAGAATGATAATTTCAGTTATGTATAATAGACATTACTGTCTACATCTATACAAGGTCGACACAGTGTTTCAGTCTATCCAGTCTATCAGTTTCGGTTTCTATCCTAGAATAGTTTGGATAGTTTCACTCACGTCAATGCGATCCACCATTGGCTGCTTGCCTTGTCCGAGGCCGCCTCAAACAGGGACAGGCCAATGAGAGCGATGGTGGGGGTGATCGTCAGTGGACCAATGAAATTCATCAGCAGTCCCATTAATCCACTGAAGCCAATCACAATTTGAAACAGCGACGACACCAGTAGGGCACCTTGCACCTTGAAATAAACACACACTGTATATCATATGTCCAAGAAGGTTAAACAAAATGAACATTTGTTTAACTGTTGCGGCATTGGGCCGGCATTTTTCTAGTTGTAGCCGCCATGCTGTGGTAGATGACGTGGCCAGAATGTCTCAGTGGGAGGATAACACTGAGGATAGAGTTGACGGAATAACACGCTTCGTACATGTGCTTATATGTGCTTATTTTCTTCGTACATGAACCTACATGCTTCGTACATGTGCTCACATTCATCGTACATGTGCTTACATTCTTCATACATGATCCTACATGCTTCGTACATGTGCTTACATTCATCGTACATGTGCTTACATTCTTCATACATGAGCCTAGATGTTTCGTACATATGCTTAAATCCATCGTATATGTGCTTATATTCTTCGTACATGAACCTACATGCTTCGTACATATGCTTAAATTCATCGTACGTGCGCTTATATTCTTCATACATGAGCCTAGATGCTTCGTACATATGTTTACATGCTTCGTACATGTGCTTACATTCATCGTACATGTGCTTACATGCTTCATACATGTGCTTACATCTGCTTTATACACTTACTTACGTCTGACTAGTACCTCACACTGAAACAATAGGTAGTAACACACGTCAGCTCTGTAGTCACTGTGTGGGTCGGGCCAAGACAGTCAGGCTACAGTGAATCCCAGATAGCATTCAGACGTTGGCCCAACGTTGGCCCACCCATTCAATGGTTTTGCCAACACTACCAACGTTGGACCAACGTCCGAATGCTATCTGGGATACTCCGAACAATCGAGCAGTGAGACCATATAATGTCAAATATATTAAGTAATGTACCTCAGCAAGACGGGCCTGCCACATGCTTTTGTGTTCCTCGCTGCCCACTTCCGGTAGACTGGTTTGGTTCGCTGAAACAGGAAGTGTAGTCAACACAGATCGCCATGGCAACAGTACGTGCGGTCTTGTTAGAGAGCGTCAAGAAGATCGCTGTGTCTCGACCAACCAGTGTACCTCCATTCTATTCTGATATTTGAGTGTGGTTACAAAATTTCGGTATCGCACCAGTACCCGACTTGTACGTCTCATTTTTCTAGCTATTCATTTAAAGCGTTAGAGTTTAGAATAAAGTAGGCGTTAGCTCACCTGATGCATCAGTGTAGGGGCACTGCCACTCACGGATGGACATGAGTGAGATGACCGGAGTGATGAAGGAGTAGCTGATGCTTTGAATGATGGGGAGTCTGCAACAGAGTGAGTGAGGGAGTGAGTACCCACCGAAACAACAACCTAACGCCACCAACAACCTCACCCATCAACAACCTCGCTCCACCGACTGCTCCCACTAACAACTCACCCAGTTTCCACCTCACCCCACCAACACCCTCACCCAGAACCCACCTCACCCAGTTTCCACCTCACCCCACCAACAACCTCATCCAGTTTCCACCTCACCTACCAACAAACTCACCCAGTTTCCACCTCACCCCACCAACAACCTCACCCCACCAACCTCACCCAAAACTCACCTCACCCAGAACCAACCTCACCCGACCAACCTCACCATACCAACCTCACCCAGAACCCACCTGACTCCCAGCGTTGTTTGCAGCAGTGTTGAGATGCCAGACACGAAGATTACGGTGCTGATGACCTCGCTGAGCCCGACGGAGTCCCCTGCGAGACACAGGAAGGGGGCCATCAGAATGGGGTAGGAGAACGTGGCGCCGAACGCCGTCAGGAATTGCTGAAAATACAGTCGTATGTCAAAACTGTATCAAAGACCTCAAGTGAACGGACAATGGACTTATAAACGGCAACATCACATAATCTTCCATGACCACATCAGAAGTACAGCAAATGTTAGCAGTACAGTATTGTTCGAGTATTCCGGTAAGTATGTGTGTGTGTTTGGAAAGTGTGAGAATGCGTGCGTGGATATCTGCGTGTGTTTAAAACATGCAAGTTGTCTATATAAACTGCAGGTGAGCAATATAAAGCCGATTTAATTCTATTTAGCTGTGTCTCACAAATTGTTCAGACGGATTGCTGGAGAATTGTTGATTCAACATGTGAATGGAAACGTTGCCATACATACTTTCTCGATATACGATACGCCGTCAATTCCTACGTATTGTCACCAAGTTTACAGTCATGAGAAACATATATCAACACCATCAGCTGGTTGCATGTTTTTAGCTGCAAATGCTCTATCTCTCTGCCTCCAAACTCTCAAGCGTTTATCAGTTACATGAAAACGGAATCCGCTTTCATCAGACTAAAATATTCTTCGCCTAATGCTCAGATTACAGCCTTGCCAAACGTGTTAGTTGGCGATGATCGCTCAGTAGTAGAGGACGCTTGAAGATCCTTCTAGATGTGTACCTCTAGAGGTGTACCCGATCGCTCAGTAGTAGAGAGGACGCTTGATGACCCTTCTAGAGGTGTACCTCTAGAGTTGTACCCGATCGCTCAGTAGTAGAGGACGCTTGAAGACCCTTCTAGAGGTGTACCTCTAGAGTTGTACCCGATCGCTCAGTAGTAGAGGACGCTTGAAGACCCTTCTAGATGTGTACCTCTAGAGTTGTACCCGATCGCTCAGTAGTAGAGGACGCTTGAAGACCCTTCTAGATGTGTACCCCTAGATTGCGCTCAGTAGTAGTAGACGCTTGCTTTCTAGAAGACCCCCGATCGCTCAGAGTAGTTGAAGATCCCTACCTCTAGAGTTGTACCCGATCGCTCAGTAGTAGAGGACGCTTGAAGACCCTTCTAGAGGTGTATCGCTCCGATCGCTCAGTAGAGGACGCTTGAAGACCCTTTCAGAGATGTGTACCTTCTGATCGAGCTCAGAGTTGAGGAAAATTCGATCGCTCAGTAGAAGAGGACGACCCTTCTAGATGTAAAATTCTCTAGAGTTGTACCCGATCGCCTAGCAGTAGAGGACGCTCAGAGTTGTACCCGATCGCTCAGTAGTAGAGGACGCTTGAAGACCCTTCTAGAGGTGTACCCGATCGCTCAGTAGTAGAGGACGCTTGAAGACCCTTCTAGATGTGTACCTCTAGAGTTGTACCCGATCGCTCAGTAGTAGAGGACGCTTGATGACCCTTCTAGATGTGCACCCGATCGCTCAGTAGTAGAGGACGCTTGAAGACCCTTCTAGAGGTGTACCTCTAGAGTTGTACCCGATCGCTCAGTAGTAGAGGACGCTTGAAGACCCTTCTAGATGTGTACCTCTAGAGTTGTACCCGATCGCTCAGTAGTAGAGGACGCTTGAAGACCCTTCTAGAGGTGTACCTCTAGAGGTGTACCCGATCGCTCAGTAGTAGAGGACGCTTGAAGACCCTTCTAGGACGATCGCTCAGTAGTAGAGGACGCTTGAAGACCCTTCTAGAGGTGTACCTCTAGAGTTGTACCCGATCGATCGCTCAGTAGTAGAGGACGAGGTGTACCCCTTCTAGAGTTGTACCCGATCGCTCAGTAGTAGAGGACGCTTGAAGACCCTTCTAGAGGTGTACCTCTAGAGTTGTACCCGATCGCTCAGTAGTAGAGGACGCTGAGTAGTAGAGGTACCCGATCGCTCAGTAGTAGAGGACGCTTGAAGACCCTTCTAGATGGTGTACCCGATCGCTCTAGAGTTGTACCCTATCGCTCAGTAGTAGAGGACGCTTGAAGACCCTTCTAGAGGTGTACCTCTAGAGTTGTACCCGATCGCTCAGTAGAAGAGGACGCTTGAAGACCCTTCTAGAGGTGTACCTCTAGAGTTGTACCCGATCGCTCAGTAGTAGAGGACGCTTGAAGACCCTTCTAGAGGTGTACCTCAGAGTACCCGGGAGAGTAGTAGCAGGACGCTGTACCCGATCGCTCAGTAGTAGAGGACGCTTGAAGACCCTTCTAGAGGTGTACCTCTAGAGGTGTACCCGATCGCTCAGTAGTAGAGGACGCTTGAAGACCCTTCTAGAGGTGTACCTCTAGAGTTGTACCCGATCGCTCAGTAGTAGAGGACGCGTGAAGACCCTTCTAGAGTTGTACCCGATCGCTCAGTAGTAGAGGACGCTTGAAGACCCTTCTAGAGGTGTACCCTATCGCTCAGTAGTAGAGGACGCTTGAAGACCCTTCTAGAGGTGTACCTCTAGAGTTGTACCCGATCGCTCAGTAGTAGAGGACGCTTGAAGACCCTTCTAGAGTTGTACCTCTAGAGTTGTACCCGATCGCTCAGTAGTAGAGGACGCTTGAAGACCCTTCTAGCGGTGTACCCGATCGCTCAGTAGTAGAGGACGCTTGAAGACCCTTCTAGATGTGTACCTCTAGAGTTGTACCCTATCGCTCAGTAGTAGAGGACGCTTGAAGACCCTTCTAGATGTGTACCCGATCGCTCAGTAGTAGAGGACGCTTGAAGACCCTTCTAGAGGTGTACCCGATCGCTCAGTAGTAGAGGACGCTTGAAGACCCTTCTAGAGGTGTACCTCTAGAGTTGTACCCGATCGCTCAGTAGTAGGCTGTTCCGGAATGTTCTGTGGAGAGCCGGCGAAATGATTACAATTCGTGGGCGGGTAAGACTTCCGCCCGTATCCCCCCTAAATTGGGTGACATTTATAGATGTTGGATATATCTATCAGTATGTAGATATAATTAATGAAACATGTTAAAACTCATTCTTATCAGATGACGAATATTATTCAGGTGATACGATTTGACTATTTAGAATGAAATTTAAGGGGGGATACGGGCGGAAGTCTTTCCATAGACTGTGTCGAGCCTCGTTTATCTTTCCTCCGTCACCTGAGTATATTTCCAAAACTTCGTTTTCAAACGACACACGGTCAAGCTGACCCAGTTTGTTGTGAACCTCGTTGAAGATATCATTGTCTATGTCCTCCACCTGTTGCGTAAGATACCTGTCTTCAGAGTCGTTGGTTGTCCCGGCCATTGTCTATCAATTACCGAGCACGCACATTAGCCGATGATTTAAATTACATTTGTGACGTCATTCCATTGTCTGTTCGCTCCATTACTTTTCAGGAATGGAGCGATGTGTACCAGTTTCAAAATAAAACCTTCATTTTGTCATTTAGACATTTAATTTTGATAACAGAAATATTCCCAATACTTCGAATGTAATTTAAGTAGGGTAATATCCTCGTAACTCTCCATTATTTTTCAGGAATGGAGAGTTACTCGGACATTACCCTCTACGTAATAACCAAGCTTCATGGACATAGTTCTTCTTCATATGTTTAGCAAAGTTTCATTTCAAAATCTCATCAGAACGTGGAGTGGAGTCAGATAATGTAACCAAATTTACCAGTATCGATGTCAGGGGCATCAGCTTGACATACGTATCACTTTTGTTTGAAGCAAACGTGCATAAACTTCTCTAGATACGTATAAACTGGAGAGCGATTTTTCCGTAACTTCGCCTTGACGGCCATCTTGTTCTGTGGAGAGCCGGCGAAATGGTAACCAGTGGTGCTTCAGAATAGTGATTGTGGTCATTGGTTGATGTCGAGTGAGCCCCAGTGCGTCGTGTCTTCAGGATTTGACGTCACCCTGGATCGTCCAGAACGTGGGCGATCCTTCCCTTCATTGGTTCACTTGTGTGTTCTGGCCAAACGACTGACAACTGATTTAAACATATTTTTATTCATGAAGATGAATTGGGATTGGTGAACAAGCATTACTGCTTATATTAACACCGCTCCCATGCAACATATAATACAACATGAAAATGGAGGATTTGACGTCATCGATACTGACCACTGCATAAATATAATATTTTTAAAATGTATAAATATATACAGATTACATGAAATACAACTATTCTCTAAGTAGTCATAAGTTAGAGAGTTACAGTTGTGTGTGTCTCACAAGCCATTGTAGAAATATAAATCAATCATGAGAAGGTTGTTGAGTAAATTTAATTATTTTCCTGAGAAAATTTAAAGCGTTGTGTCTTGGTTATATAATCGTGGACGGATTCAACTATTTTCTGGTTTACACAGGGAGTAAGTTCTTTGTTTCCCTTAAGAATGGTATCCAGGTTATAACCGGTAGTGTAAAAATACATATTAAGTCTTATCCGCGTATAGTTACGGCAAGTGAGGAAATAGTGTAGGGCGTTTTCACTCTGATGTCCACAAGGGCTGTCTTTTAAATGTCTGTTATACTTATCGGCGTTTAGGTCGCTACATCCGAGCCTGAGGCGGCAGTGAACGATTTGGCAAAAACGAGTGTCATAATTAAGGTCAAAGTAAATCTTATTTACTGACAACTGTGTCGTGGACATTCATTCACGACCAATTGCTTTATAGGATACATCATGGCATACCAACGATTTGCCATGGTTGTCATCTGATAATTCTCTTCATACAGTTGTAACAGAAACAATATTGAACATCGTAACCCATGCAGATTAAATACCAACATGTGGTACGTGCACAAACTGCACTTTGTTTCTGGACATGCTTGTTTAACGCTGTAGAGGGCGGGTTTCGGAGACAGCTTCCACGAAGGTCACTTCAGAAAGTAAGATACCGGTAACAACTTCTTTAATGTATATGCGACGTTTCGGTATAGGTTCTTATACCGTTGTCAAGCAAGAGTGAAGTACTACAGCACAGAACGGACTTATATAACATCAACAGAGATTAAGTAAAAACATCATGTAGGTATGAATCAAGGGGATTAACACGAAAACAATGGGAGGCGGTAATAATGAAGTGACCACGTCCAATATACATAGCTGATAAGATTAATAAACAATGATAGCTGGAGTGCTCTAATCTGTTGTTTTTATCAGTTCATTGTATGCGGAAGGGATGAGAGATCCCTGGTCTCTGTTGATTGAGGGCTTGTGTCTCCGGATTTGAACTGCTTCTTCAAGTTTTCTTTGGTGAAAGGAGCCCCTGGTGTATATATACATGTATTATACGACAGATGTTTGTCTGGAACACCAGGTGTCCAATAGAGCGTTAAAAGGGCGATTCAGCGGGGTCTTCCCACTTACCCAACTCCTCTTGTTTCAGTTGGGGTGTGATAATCCCCTTTAATCCCTTATTTGGTTCCCTGTGAAATAGTATCCGGGGCCAAATGGGATAAAATGCTACTACGTTTGATTCAATGTTTGTCTGTGTTTATTAATTATATATATATAAGTTATCCATTTATACAACTTAATACAACATCAACATCATATCACATATTATACATCAATATTTCACAGCACACCTTTCACACTTAATTACCAGTTACATGTGATACTGAGTCTCTTGTACATTTCCAAGGCAGGGTTCAGTGCAACTTCTCTTCCTAGGTGGAGGTCTGGCACCGTTTCTTAGCTGAAGAACAGATGCCTCCATCCAGCCTTGTTCCTTCTTTAAAAAGCCAGTGGCCTTAATGTCGGGGTGGAAAAAACAGTCCTTCGTCTTGATACTGAGTCCCTAGTGTAGTGATCTACCTTCAGTTGTTGACAATCTGTGGCCTGTTTTTATATTGTATTGTCCAAATAGTGCTATTAGTTTTAACTTTCCACATTAGATTTAATTGTAATTGTGATATTCTAGTTGTTTTACTGTCCTTTGACGACAGGGTTATATAATATACACATATTCCATTTCAATATCAAACATGTTCTCGTCACGATATGGCCGAAATATTGCCTATGTGACGTTAAATATTAACTCACTCACTCTTGATACTGAACTTACAGCCCCTGTAGACCAAGTACTGTAGCAAATGATATGAATATGGTTCATATAGTTTATCTTGTGAAATATGTTAACCGGTGGTCATGAGGTTGCTCTGATCGGCCCTGATTAGAGTGCTGGGTGAACTTATGTCACAACCATAGCAGGGGTAACAAATTCACCCTGCACAATCACTGACCCGTAACTGTTAATCTCTTTTAATCCCCCCAGCAAGTTGGGTAAGTGGGAATGAGCCGATTCAGCCTGTATTCCGTCAATACATTTCACACCCACAACAGACAGTCAGCAGTTGGTCAGAGAGAAAGACTTAAGGCGGCTGATGTGTAGCAGCGTCGGAATGCTAGCGTGTCGATCAATCATCGCATTGGATTTCAAAGGTGCAGAATTTTTCTGTAGCTGACAATGGCATGTGTGTAGCCCAGTGCTGGTGTTACACACGGGGCGGAGTGACCCAGCCTTACAGGGCAGGAGTATGCTATGCCGAGTTACATCACGCAACAGTGCGAGAAATATATCAACGACCTGTTTCTCTCCTAGAGGCTTTCATAAAGGTGCTGTGAAGAACTGCTTAACTTCGGACATTCCTGATATAACTGTAATACGATTTTGAGCGATATTAAACTCACCTGAAAGCCGAGGAGAATACACAAATACCATGGCGGAACCTCCGACACAGTGTACAAGATGTTCCTCTTCACTTCACTTCTCTCAGCATCACCAGGTGGCGCGGCAGTGTCCTTCTCCACATCAACAGACGACATTTCTAGTTCTTGCACAAACAAACCGCTCGGTTTACATGTCCCGATGACGAAGACGATGATTATTCCAGCAGGTTGGGGTTGTCTACAGAAGGCTGTAACTTACGTCAGGAACCAAGATCGGCGTCCTGCTACCTGAAACAAGGGTGTCCTTATTACAAGAAAGTTTCTTCAAATTTTTAAGTTGCTCGGCCTACAATGGCGAGGCGTAACACCTACAGTGAACACCGACTGTACGCCAGGGACGCAGGCGTCCTTTACTGTGAGTGAAGGCTTAACGTAGCAACGGCCTTGTATTAGCCATACAGCGACGTGTATTTACAGTTTCTGAACAACATCTTGGTTCCTTAGCTGCAGACCCGTGAAGATCCGGGTTAGAATTGGTCTTCAATAAGCCATGCATGTCGTAAGAGGCGTCTAACGAAATCGGGTGATCAGGCTCGCTATACACTGCTTGGTTGACACATGTCATGGTATCCCAATTGCGTAGATCGATGCTCATGTTGTTGATCACTGGATTGTCTGGTTCAGACTCGATTATTTACAGACAGCCGCCGTATAACTGGAATATTGCTGAGTGCGGCGTAAAACTAACTCACTCAATCACTCACTCACTCACAACGCTGTTTTACAGTGAATACTACGGTCACACATCACATGACTCACATAGGAGGGAAAGCATTCAACAGTAACACATCACATGACTCACATAGGAGGGAAAGCATTCAACAGTAACACATCACATGACTCACATAGGAGGGAAAGCATTCAACGGTCACACATCACATGACTCACATAGGAGGGAAAGCATTCAACAGTAACACATCACATGACTCACATTTGAGGGAAAGCATTCAACAGTAACACATCACATGACTCACATAGGAGGGAAAGCATTCAACAGTAACACATCACATGACTCACATAGGAGGGAAAGCATTCAACAGTAACACATCACATGACTCACATAGGAGGGAAAGCATTCAACAGTAACACATCACATGACTCACATAGGAGGGAAAGCATTCAACAGTAACACATCACATGACTCACATAGGAGGGAAAGCATTCAACGGTCACACATCACATGACTCACATAGGAGGGAAAGCATTCAACGGTAACACATCACATGACTCACATAGGAGGAAAGCAAAGTAACATTGACTCACATAGGAGGGAAAGCATTCAACAGTAACACATCACATGACTCACATAGGAGGGAAATTCAACAGCATTCCAACATTCAACAGTAAACATCATTCAACAGCATTCAACACATCATCACATCACATGACTCACATAGGAGGGAAAGCATTCAACAGTAACACATCACATGACTCACATAGGAGGGAAAGCATTCAACAGTAACACATCACATGACTCACATAGGAGGGAAAGCATTCAACAGTAACACATCACATGACTCACATAGGAGGGAAAGCATTCAACAGTAACACACTAAGGTACACACTGACTGCACATCATCAATTTTCAATTCTTATCAAATTTCCGTACTGAAATTGAAAAAAAAACCGACTATTAAACCATTATTTTTCAAAAGTTTACCTGTTGCCGAGGAGTGGGCAATAAACTGGGTCAGCCTTTCAGAATATTTAGCTTTCAAGTGATGTAAACAGGAGTGTATTTGTCCCTCTATATCTCTTAAATCCAAATTGAAAGGGGTGCGGGAAGCCATTAGATTGCTAAGATGGAGCTCTTTCTGAGAGAATTACGTGCTACTGGAGTGAAGGTGACGTCACAGCAGCCATCTCTAAACTTGAACATTACAGGGAGACGCAAAAATACCAACATCGACCATCTTGAGTATCTAATCTCATCATAAAATGTTACAGCGCAATAAGGAGGAGATCTACTATATATATTGTATATCTCTTGGTTGGTTATACAAAAAACAGCCGTGGTTGATATAACTGATTATATGAAAGCGGCTGAGTGGTAGCGTCATCAAGCGTGACAGTGACCGGCTATAGCGTCGTCACCAAGCGTGACCGGCTATAGTGTCACCGCGCTATAGCTATAGCGTCGTCATCAAGCGTGACAGTGACCGGCTATAGCGTCGTCATCAAGGTGTGACAATGAGGCTATGTCGTCATCAAGCGTGACAGTGAGTGCTTAAGGGAGAGACGATAGTTTAATAGTGTTGTCATCAGAGTGTGCCACTGACTGGCGGAGCTCGGGTCTTTCAGTTCTACATTACCAAAAGCCTGTGGCTTGAGGGAGAGGCTCTCCCAATGCTGCAGCGAGCTACATGTGTCTTACCGGCAGCCCTGTCATCAACTACAGGCAAATATACCTGCCAACAGACTCCATTGTTTCTATCACGTGTCTTTTGTGTTCACGTACAGACTTTCAGCTTGAATTGATGTTGCGCCTGCACAATATCCGTGCTCACTGACCATTGAAGGATGTCTGAATCACAGCTACACTCTTTTCTACGTCATACACGCATTCATCAACTTTACCACATCAGGCAGTACCACTCAACTTTACCACATCAGGCAGTACCACTCAACTTTTTTAATACTTATTTACCTTATGTGTAGTCATTGGCAGATATTTATTCTTCAGCAAACGAAAGTTGTATGTAGCTTTCGTAGATTTCAAAAAGGCGTCTGATTCAGTAATTAGAGTTGAAATGTGAAAATGATTTAGAAAGGGGGTTTGAAGTGGAAACTACGTAACAGTGAGATCGATGTTTTCAAATGTAATATCACGACTGTTATTATGGTGATGTTGACTTATATTACTGCCCTGTTGGCGTGCGTCAAGGATGTGTCCTACATCAAGGATGTGTCCTACATCAAGGATGTCTCCTACGTCAAGATGTGTCCTACGGAAGTTACAGACATGATTGAAGTTCCTGTCGTCAGTTCAAGTCGTTGCTTCAACCAGAGTCTTATTTAGCTAACTTACGACACAGTGAGTGAGTGAGTGAGTTTGGTTTTACCCTGCTTGTAGCAATATTCCAGCAATACCACGGCGGGGGGACACCAGAAATGGGCTTCACACATAGTACCCATATGGGGAATCGAATCCGGGTCTTCGACGTGACGAGCGAACGCTTTAACCACTAGGCTACCACTGCCCACTGACGACACTGGGTTGTTCGTATTGTCTTTAGACGTCTTAGACTAGGGCATAATGATTTAGTAAATAATCCAGGAAGATATTTATCTGTTGAAAAGAACCTAAGACTTGTTTCCATTCTGTAGCGTTATCGAAGAATAATTTCATTTTATGTCTTTTTGCCATATTTACGACACAGTATTTACCTCAATAGCCCTTATCGTATATCAGTGTTAAATATTCCTTCCCTTCCTCCAAGGAACCTTTACAACAACGCCGAGTAGCCTATTTATTCATGCAAAAAACCTGATAGCCTAACCTGGATATCATGTGTTAATGGTACGTGACTCCTATGTATATGGCCCCATGGCCTTTTGACGCCAATATAGACTTGCATCAGAAATGTCCCCGACAGTATACTCAGTATAAACTATCACACGAGCTGGAACACCACCTTTAGCAAACTTGTGAGTGGGTTTAGTTTTACGCCGCTTTTAGTAATATTCCAGCAACATCACGACAGGGGACACCAGAAATGGGCTGCTCACATTGTATCCATGTAGGGAATCGAACCCAGGTGTAAGGCGTGACGAGCAAACGCATTAACCACAAGGCTACCCCACCGCTCAGCAAACTTGTAACTTAGCTACCTAAAAATATTTAGTAATGAGGTCACATGTAGCATGAACCATATCTGACATTAATGTTTCTCAGAGAATACAGATTGTATGGGGCACAAAGTTCGTAATGTAGACCGCCTGTTGTCAGGCAGACAAAAGTACGAGCCTAAAAATAAAGAATAAAAAAAAATGTTATTCGAGTCGTGCTGTTCTGATAGGTTGAAGCGAAGATCTGAATAAAAACTGCATTTAAACAGGAAGTGTATTTCAGATTCAACAAGGGGCGTAACGTACATTCTAGAGGGGGCGGGGGTGGGGACGAGTCGGTCAGTCTCTTCAAGTAGAGGAAGGGTCCCACAACGAAGTCTAGATAGGTCATTTCGCACTGCAAGCATGCGTGTTGGCAACAGATGTCATGGTAGTAACGTTCAGGGAAAGACTTCCACCTGTATCTCCCCTTGACGCTAACCTCTAACCTTGATAATTTAGTGTCTCTCTCTCTCTCTCTCTCTCTCTCTCTCTATGTCTATATATATATATATATTTAGGGGTAACGGGCGGATTGTATATGCATCTTCCCTGTTACACATTCATTGTGCTCACTATTACTGACCCCTGAAGATGTGCACAACCAACTTATGAAGATGTGGCACAGTATGATCTTACACGCAGCTATGTGAGGAGGGAGATTGTCGATTCTGGTGACACCGGGTAAGATACCCAACTAGTAGGTATCTGGGTTGTACAACGATGGAATCCTTGTGCTACACCTACAATACTCACCCTGCCACTCCCCTGCACAGTGTCCTGGAATGTGCACTGGTGACAACATAGGCCTGAGAAGCAGGGCGTTCACATTGTTACTCGTGCCAGTCATATAATCAACTTGGCTTCTACTTTGTTTGCCTTCCAAAGATGACCTGTCTACCCTTTAATGCAATGGACACACCCAATCAGCAGAATTACAAAGAGTAAAGCTTTACTGGCGATGCTTAGCTTACACATACCAGGGATAATCTACAACGTTATATAGTCTCCCTAAAAATACTTAACGTCTTACATAACCTGAAATGAGAAATACGACTGTTGTAAATACGTCAACCAAGTTATTTCTTTTATAGATCTGAAATAAATACAATAAATTATTATCAGTTAGCACTTATAGGGGTTGCTACTTTCAGTAACACAAGGCGTCTTGTCATCAATCACAAATCATTCACCATTTCTCGGGACAATACACCCACAAGTCGCCAATAATTCACAAATATGATGTCGTCCATGAATTCCCAAGGCTGTTGTAAGCATCCAACCGTGTCCAGTCGCCAGGGCAGGTTCACGTATGTACAGCAGCTTAACTGAAGCACGGCCGTCTTGTGTTGTGTCTCCGTGTAGAGGCTGTGTACCTCGCCTATCCGGACACATGCGGTTGGGTTTTTAATATTGTCCGGATAAACGAATAAACAATGTAAGAGTGTTCTGATACCTGGTTCCACGTTACGTTCCCTACCCAAGTTCTATGGTAGCCACAAATCACCTCTATTTTATAATGCCTTAAGCTGTTCGAGTATTACACGCAGTCAAAAGCCGTATACATGGTATCCCTTCTTTAAGGTCTCCATCCATGTTTCCATCGCGACAATGTTATGTTGTCAGTTATAGTCCAGTTAGATCAAATACGACTTTTAACGAGTCAAATTATGAAATATGCATATTCTGTATCAACCACGGTTCGTTACAGGGCAGCAGTAGTTTGTTGTCTGTTTGTTGTTTCACGCCGCACTCAGCAATATTCCGCTATATGGCAGCGGTTTGTAAATAATCAAGCCTTGACCAGACAATCCAGTGATCAACAACATGAGCATCGATCTACGCAATTGGGATACCATGACATGTGTCAACCAAGCAGTGTATAGCGAGCCTGATCACCCGATATCGATGAGTTCACGATTTCACAGAAATTATCCAAAATAATGAAGGCATTTTACATGAAACTGATTAAAAAGAATTAAACGACAATCAAGATGTAGAACGTATACATTTTATAAACAGTAATACGATTACTGCATTCACATTGCCATTACGTCTCTGTGGTGTTGGATGAAGGGTGATGAACGGCAGAAGGAACCTCATCAAGCGGGGTCCGGTCCGCTGTTCGGTAACTGGATACAATACTCTGTATTTGTCTCCGTGTGATTGGAAGTCAGTGTACGGAGGAGTATTTTATGTAGTAATTACTTCGTATTTAATATCATCCAACAGGCGATATGCCAGGACATCTATAAGCGCAGTTCATTCGCGGGTCAACTATACAAGTCTGTATGTATCGACAGGAAGGAGTTATTAGTCTGTACATACACGCGGCTATAAGTGAGGAAGTATACAATTGTCAGCCTGTGTATACACATATTGGGCAGTGTGTTTAAACAGTTATGGAGCAGCATGTTTTAGCTTTACATCTCAGTAACATTTGCTCATTTCAGCGGTCATGTTCATCATGATAACTATGTTACAATCTGGTGACCTTGAACTCCCACGAAAGGGCAGCCGTAACGAATTCAACTGGAGATCTCATCCATTGTCTCTCGTACATATACCCACAGGCGGTCAAGGCTGACAAATGCCGTGTGACAAATGGGGACCGAGACATAAACAGAGAGCAAAGCACACAAACGTGAACACTAAACAGGGCCATGTAATGTACTGGTTAGCAATATCTGACCTACAGCTACCTACAACCAGGAAGGCACCAACAAAGTGAAACCCCTACCTGTCTCCAGTCTCGGCAGTGTAGTGGGCCTATGTGTTCCCGCGATCAGGGGATCAGGTGCAGGGTAAAGGAGACCGCTTACATATGTTCACACAGGTCGTGTATTGTGTCGACTGGCTTCACAGGCTCGGCAAGGTATGGTGAAAGTGCAGTCGACCACAGAGTCGCACCTGACACGGGGGAAATCCTGTCACTCTACAGTGGGGTCAAGAGCACGTCAATACAGAGTAGGGTGTTGACGGGGTATACATAAGACAGGAGATATGCACTATCATTTTTTATCACTCTGCGTCAACACCTGTACGCCAGGTGTAATCAGACAGGTGAAATCAATGCAGTTATTACCTTTTTCAATTTATGTCCATTATGATTCATACCAGCAATCCAGGTGTGGAGAAATGTTGCTTTCCGCCATGTTAACTCACTATCCCTCCCCCTTAAGTAACACGGTCTTGTTACCAGAGGTAGGTCTGGGCCTGTTTGTAAACTGTTTTTTTTAACGGAATGTTATCAACATGACCCAATGTAACTGTGCAGTAATGACTCACACGTTGCATGTTAACTACAGAACTACTTGTTGTTTATACGTGGGTGTCACTTTGATCACTAAAACCTCCAAACATAAACCGCTTCTGTGGTGTAGTGGATACAGTGTCTGTCCGGAGAGCGACAAGTCATTGGTTCGATCCTCCGACTGCGTCAGACAAAACATATTACAGGATAGTACTTGTTGTTAGCCTGCCTGGCGTGCGGCTTAAAGGGTCTGGAACAACGCCACGACTCCGTATACGGTGTGTGAGTGGATATCCATGCTAAATTGTGACTTTCTATCTTAATGTCCTGGAAAAAAACGACAATAAGGCAGGCTAATACCAGCGCGCACGCATGCACACTGACACACACACCAGAGCTACAGATAACGTTTTGGGTCATTGAGTTATGTACTCCCTTGTGTTCATCTCAATTGGGTATCCTGCTTTTCTTTTGAGTAACCAAATAAATTGTACTCACCTCAATCAAACTCATTTGGGTATTGTGCCAATTTCCATTAATTTTAAAAATATTATATAGTTTAAATGTTAGTGTTTGTCATTTACCTTTGATCTGTAATATGAGAAACGATAAGAAAGACTGCAGGTTGTCAAGTTCATGTCCTAAAATAGAACCTCTCAATATACCTCAGTTATTTTATCTATCCACCGGTACGCAAGCTACGATTGGGACATTTTTGTGTGTACGCATGTAAGATCACATTTATTGAGTATTTACAAAACTTCAAGCGTACTTGTACGCAACAGACCAAATAGGAATTGGGTTTTCACATAAATGTTTGCGTCATTTACGCAGATACGCAGTTTATCTGTACCTCTGCACATTCACATGCGCACGCACACGCGTGCGTTAAGTAACTGTAATCGTTATGTTTTCATTATTAAATTTGGACGAAAAAATTCGAACACACATATATACAACTTAACAGGACTGTAGAAGACTTGTGTTTCCTCGACCTGATACAGATCATAGAAGTTTTATAAATATTTGCAAGTAAAAGAATCAAAACACATGCTACTCTCTGTGGTTGCTTTTTTCGGACGATGGAGGTCAAAAGTCAGAGGTCAGGGACAGCGGTCAGTTATATTCTATAGGTAGAAACAGGTCGAACTGGTTTAAGTAATGGCAGTCACGTGTCAGAATGCCAAGCGGGATTGAGTGGCTGATATTCCTGGAGAGGACATCAGATCTGTCACACTCACGTGCCGACACGACGTCACACGGAATTCAGCATCGTCGACGTCGGCGTTTGAGATGGGGCGGTCGTAGCCGACGTCACGACTGTCCGGTCTAGTCGTCCGCTGTTCTAGATGACCTGCGCCATTGTGTCTGAATAAACCTATCAGTCAGATTTTGAAGACTTTGTATTGCATGCCGCGGGACCAGGTCAAGGCCAAGAGACGTAAGGAGGTAGTACTTAACATTTGTAGGAGGGGGCGTGTCGTTAGAGGGGATTGTTGGCTAAAGAATTTCGGTGCCCTTTGGAAACTTAATGAATCAATTAGGTAGTGAGTCACTTGGCAATGTGTAATGCCATATCCCCAACACTGTGCGTGTGGACTGCCTGATAATTCTACATCGGCGTATTAGACAAGTTCTGCAACAGTCCTGGTGGGAACTGTTTCCCAAGCTCCATACACTGATGTTGTGGGTGATCACAGTGGTTAAAGTATTCGCGCACTATGACGACCGGGTTAGAACCCACGCTTGTCGCAACAGGCGACTAACTGGATCGGGTGGTCAGGCTCGCTGACTTGGTTGACACATGTCATTATATCCCCATTGCTTAGGTCGATGCTCATGATGTTGATCACTGGGTTGTTTGGTGCAGACTCTATTATTTACAGACCGCCGCCATGGTGCCGTAGAGTCCATGGAACCTTAGGAAACTGGTGGTGAGTCTGGTTCAGTGATGAGTCACTGTTGCGCAGTGGAATTGAAAACGAAACTAATTAAAATTAAAGTACCGAAATATGCTATTTGGGGAACTAAACGTGACTCTCTTGATTAAACTGATGAAATACAAATGGGGAACTAAACGTGAATCTCTTAGTAGTATATACAATGGGGGTTCTGGATCACTTTCAACAAAGTTAAATAAATCTCTGCAAAGCCTTATTTGGTAAATAAGGCTTTCTTAACCCAAACATAACCAGTCGGGCCCTTTATTTGGTAAATAAGCTCTTGCTACCATTTCCCCTACTATGAAAAAGTTTGGGCCGATAGCGGTTCTGGATCACTTTCAACCAAAGCCTCTGCAAAGCCTTATTTCACAAGTAAGGCTTTGGTCGGACCCTTAGCTCTTGCTGCCATTACCCCTACTACAAAAGTTGGGGGATGCGAACGCACCTCCTAGCCGCGCTACCGGGGGCATGGGGGAAGTAACGGGTATTGCCCCATCCAATACTGGGCTGCGTCTAACGTGCCGCTATGGCACTATGCCATGTTTACCTCGATGAAACAGTTTAATGTGAATCGCCTATGATCTCTTTGGTGTTTGTAATAAAGGCTTGCCGGGCTTTTTTCACCCCTTGTTCTATGTACTTTTTTTTCTCGTCCTCGCTGATAGTAGACTTACGAGACTTGGACCGAATATCTTGTTTCATTTTGTTATATTTTGTGAGTTCAGAGAGGATTGAACTAAACTCCTCCTCTGAGATCTTACTGTCAGTAAGTGCCGTGGAAATACGCTCACTTACTGTGTTAAGCTTTGCTTCAGCCAGAACCCTGATCTCATCGTGTTTCAATGCCTTACGATGCAGTCTGCGGGATGCAAACTTAAGCACCAACCCTAACACCCCTGCCACCCCAGCTGTTATTTCGATACCTAGCACTACGGGGGTAGCCACGATGGTAGCTAACAACCCAACACCTGCCGCTCCTAGCCCCATGCTGGTTGCCATAAGGGCAGTGTCAGCCCCGTCCACGATATTGAAAGCTCTATGGTACTTTTTACATAGTGCTTTCCGCGTGTCGCGGTCTTGCTCTAGTTGGCGTTTTACATCACATAACTGTCTCAAGCGGAACCCGTCTACGGTTTCCAGTGTCTTCGCTACTTCCTCTATGACTGGGTACAGCCCCATCCTGTGTGCCTATAATATATCTGGGAAAATATTTTTTAATTGGGTATCAGTTAATAGTTGCTCAACGTACTGGAATTTTACAAGGCCAACGTTCTCCGGGTATGCTAATAGGGGAAAGGTGAACAGGGTTTCTTTGAGACTTACACTAAACGTCCTGTTGCTTGTTAAGGGGCAGAAACCCTTACCAGGCCCCGAGTCCATTTGTATAACGATACTACAATAGCGGTCTTTATATTCGGTTTCAGATATGCTTATTTCCACCCCAGATACAAGGGCCCATGAGACAGTCCCATGGGTGCTTTTTAAAAAGTATTGCGATTAATGTGGAGTTTGGGACATCACCCTAGGAGGTTGTAGGTAAGAGTGTCCCTTAAATGATAACTGTGCATACTCGGGTGCATCTAACATATAACCAGGGTGATTTGGGATTGGGGAAATTCTAATCTTTATAAGACCGTCGGGTTGAAACCCCCTAACGTGATACCGCTGTTCTTAATTTCAGTGATATCATCAAAACATCACGAAAAGAGACGTAAGGTGTGGTGAGGGTTATGTTGAGCAAACATTTGACTCTATAAAGTGGTTGTGCAGACTCTCATAAAGTCGTCTGGCAGGAGCCTCCGCACGTACCCATCACCTATTGATTGTAGGATGTATAAGCTACCTTTCTTACCAGGCTGATCGAATCCCTCTAGGCCCTCGAGTGTGGGCTTGGGTAGATGATCGGCCATTGCTGCCCGCCTATACACGTTGTCTTTCAAGTGTAGGATGTATGAGCCACCTTCCTCACCAGGCTGATCGAATCCCTCCGTGTCCCCTAGGTCGTTAAGCGTAGTGTTGGGACAATGACTGGTCATTGCTATAATACTATTACGATATAATTTCCAACTGGTTTTCTGATAATAGGTCAGGGGTTAACTTCACCCCCATGAAGTGTATGTTGTCAGGTAGGAAGATCTTGGTTAGTGATATAGTGTTTTCCACGATCACGGTGACACCCTGCAGACTGGTGTTGGAGCCGACACCCACCCGCACGTAAACTGTGCAAACGTGATACTGGTGTCGTTTCACCCACCCAAGTTTGATCCCCTTCACGATCTCGACATCATTCCCCGATGGTTCCCCTAGGTAGACTTTGATGATCAGTGTTGAGTTCGCCGGTAGACTCTCTAGTATCCTGACCACGCCTTCAAATTCAGACACCAACTGCAATGTCACGTTTTGCATGCCCGCTTTACTCGATAGCATGTGGGCTGCCATACTGGCGACTGGGCTGATGACTACGCTTTACGTCTCTGAGTCGGGACGTAAGCCACGAGCAGGGTTCCGTTGTTAACGACTTTGTTTAGGTGGTTGTCTTTGTTATCCGTGAACACGTAGGGGGAGCCGAGCCTAATATTGAGAAACCAGTCGTCTTTATCTGGTATCAACACCCACTTGTCATCTTCGGTGAAGACGAGCATATATGGCTTGTTTCGGGCGACGGTAGTGCTCTCAACATCGTCTAAGTCGAACAGTTTGCCCCCCGAACGATGGGTATATTATCCAATTATCATTACCGGTGGTGACTAGGGTGTACTTAGTGTTGACTACCGCCTTGAGGTATCTACTATATCACCTAGGGCTCCACCGGAGGGGACTTCAACGCGTTTGTAAATGTTGTTTTTCAGTTGCAAGGCGTACAATTT